ATATGTCAATTAGGTCTAGGTTATTAATAGTGTTATTGAGTTCTATAGTTTCCTTATTCAACTTTTGTTTGGAAGATCTGTCCAGTGGCGAGAGAGGTGTGTTGAAGTCTCCCATGATTATGGTATGGTGGTCTATTAGACTCTTGAACTTGAGAAGAGTTTGTTTGACGAACATAGCTGCACCATTGTTTGGGGCATAAATATTTATGATTGTTATGTCTTGTTGGTGTATGGTTCACTTAAGCAGTATGTAGTGTCCCTCTTTATCCCTTTTGATTAACTTTGGCTTGAAATCTATTTTATTTGATATGAGTATGGACACTCCTGCTTGTTTCCGAAGTCCATATGAGTGATATGATTTTTCCCAACCTTTCACCTTCAGCCTATGTATGTCTTTTCCTATCAAATGCGTCTCCTGTAGGCAGCATATTGTTGGGTCTTGTTTTGTGATCCATTCTACTAGCCTGTGTCTCTTAATTGGTGAGTTTAAGCCATTAACATTTAGGGTTATTATTGAGATATGGGTTGTTCTTCCAGCCATATTTGTTTATTTCTGTTACTAAACATGGTTTGTTTTCCTCTTTGATTATTTTCCCCCCCTTTACTGTCCTACCTCCCACTGTTGGTTTTCATTGTTATTTTCCATTTCCTCTTCCTGTAATGCTTTGGCAAGGATGTTTTGAAGAGATGGTTTTCTAGCTGCGAATTCTTTAAACTTTTGTTGATCGTGGAAGGTTTTAATTTCATCTTCCATCCTGAAGCTTAATTTCGCTGGATACACAATTCTTGGTTGGAACCCATTTTCTTTCAGTGTTTGAAATATGTTATTCCAGGATCTTCTAGCTTTCAGAGTCTGTGTTGAAAGATCAGCTGTTATCCTGATTGGCTTACCCCTAAATGTAATCTGCTTCCTTTCTCTTGTAGCTTTTAAAATTCTCTCCTTATTCTGTATGTTGGGCATCTTCATTATAATGTGTCTAGGTGTGGATCTCTTATGATTTTGCACATTCGGCGTCCTGTAGGCTTCTAGGATTTGGGATTCTGTCTCATTCTTCAAGTCTGGGAAGTTTTCTCGTATTATTTCATTGAATAGACTGCTCATTCCTTTGGTTTGGAGCTCTGTACCTTCCTGTATCCCAATGACTCTTAAGTTTGGTCTCTTAATGTTATCCCATATTTCTTGGATGTTCTGCTCATGGTTTCTTAACAGTCTTGCTGAGCTGTCTATGTTCTTTTCCAGTTGAAATACTTTGTCTTCATTGTCTGATGTTCTATCTTCTAAGTGTTCTACTCTGCTGGTAGTATTCTCCATTGAGTTTTTAAGTTGGTTTATTGCTTCCTGCATTTCTAGGATTTCTGTTTGTTTGTTTTTTATAACCTCTATCTCCCTGTATAGTTGATCCTTTGCTTCCTGGATTTGTTTGCGTAATTCGTTGTCGAAGTGATCTTTCATTGTCTGATTTTGCTGTTTAATGTCTTCCTTGATACTCCAGATCATCTGAAGCATGTATATCCTGAATTCTTTATCTGACATTCCATCTGCTGCAGCTGTTACCTCTTCTAAAGTTGCGTTGACCTGCATTGCTTGTGGTCCTTTCTTTCCTTGTCTTTTCATACTGCTTGCGTATCTTTCCTGCAGGCGTGGGCGGCGGCTCTGCTCTCTCCTTATTCCAATTGGGGTGTCGTGGCTACCACGCCGGCAGGTCACTGGGCCTGTTCTGGGCGCTGGTGGCGGCTCTGTTCTGCCCCTACTCCAATTGGGGTGACGAGTGTACCACGCCGGCAGGCCACCGGGCCTGATCCGCCGGTCGGTTGCAGGTTTGTCTACCCTGCAGGCGCGGGCGGCGGCTCTACTCTGCCCCTACTCCAAATGGGGTGACGTGTCTGTCGTACCGGCAGGCCACTGGGCCTGTCCCGCTGGTCGGTCGCAGATCTGCCCACCTTTCGGGCACGGGTGGAGGCTCTGCTCTGCCCCTACTCCTATTGGGGTGTCGTGACTACCCCGCCTGCAGGACGCTGGGCCTGTTCCTGGCACGGGCGGCGACTCTGCTCTGCCCCTACTCCAATTAGGGTGGTGTGTGTACCACGCCGGCAGGCTCCTGGTCCTGATCCTCCGGTCTGTTGCAGGTCTGCCTACCTTGGAGGCGTGGGCGGCGGATCTGCCCTGCCCCTCCTACCACGCCTGCGGACCCCTGGGCCTGATCTGCAGGTTGGTCACAGGTCTGCTCACCCTGCGGGCACGGGTGGCGGTTCCGCTCCGCCCCCACTCCAATTGGGGTCACGTGGCCACCACACCGGCAGGGCCTGATCCGGGCGTGGGAGAAGGATCTGCTCTGCCCCTACTCCAGTTGGGGTGACGTGTGTACCACACTGGCAGGCCACTGGGCCTGACCCGCCAGGCTGTCACAGGTCTGTTTACCTTGCAAGCACGAACGGCGGCTCTGCCCTGCCCCTCCTACCACGCCCATGTACCACTGGGTCGCGGGTCTGCCCACCTTGCGGGTGCGGGTGGCGGCTCCGCTCCGCCCCCTCTCCAATTGGGGTCACGCGGTCACCACGCTGGCGAGCCGCTGGGCCTGCTCCGGGCGCTGGCGGCGGCCCGGCTCCCTATATTTTCAAATGAACAAAGTGAGCTGGTCAACTCAAGGAAAACAACTGACTGTATTTGTTGCCAATGATAAAAATTGGAGCTTTCAAGCAAAAATTAGAATTTTGGAAAGCTAGCATCTATCATTGAGAGGTTGGCACATTTCCAAAACAGAGATTTTCCTGATGGTGATATTAAAGTATCTGTGAATTTTTATATCGTATAAAGAAATGTGTCGATGTTTTAGAAGATATTGGTATAACTCAGTGAGCCAATATTTTACAAATGATATGATTTTATAAACTCTTGCGTGGGTGAAAAAAATCTATTCAAAGTGCAAGGTAAAAATCAGTAGATTTGGGCTGGGGTTGTGGCTCAGCAGTAGAACGCTCACTTAGCAGGTGCAAGGCCCTGGGTTCAATCCTCAGCACCACATAAAAATAAATACACAAAATAAAGGTATTGTGTACAACTAAAAAATAAATATTAAAAAAATCAGTAGATTTCAGTGAACAGAGTACCAACATTTCACAAATACGATTTCTATTTCACATTCCAAATAACCTTTGAGAAACTACCATTTGTCCACGTTTGGTGTAGTTTTAAAGGAGAATATCCACAATTACCTGAAAATAGCATTAAGATATTCCCTTTTTTTAACATATCTGTATGAGGCAGTTTATTCACCATAAGTTTCAACTAGAACAATATACCCAAACAGGTGCAAAAGCATATATAAGAATCTCTGTATGCATATATAAGAAGTGTGTGTGTGTGTGTTACACCAGGCAGGGATTGAACCTGGGGCCTTGCACATGCTAGGGAAGCTCTCTAGCATTAAGCTACATCCCAAGTCCTTATTTATTTATTTATTTATTTTTTGATTTTGATACAGTGTCTTGCTAAGTTGCTGAGGCTGGCCTGGAACCTGTGATCCTCCTGTGTCAGCCATTAGTATGTGCCATTGTGTCCAGCTAAGAATATCTTTCATTAAGCCAGACACTAAAAAGATTTGCAAAGATATAAAGCAATTCCACTGGTATCAGTAATTTGGGATGGTAGGTATTGCTTTTTAAAAAATATTTATATAAACATGTAATAGGCATTCACAAAGCTTATTATTTTTTTATAAATGAATCAATAGAGATGTTCAAAATGTTTCTTGGTTTATATATCTAACAAGCTAAACAGCAATAAATATAACTCAAATTACAAAAACTCTTTGGGTTCCTCAATCATTTTTAAATTTAGAGAGACCCTCAGACTAAAAGATTTAAGAATGACTAAACTTTAAGGTTTATTCCACTTTTACAATCTCATTGCAAAATTGTGTTAAGAGTCCTAAGATACAAATACAAAATTTAAACTTTTTCCTATATTTTTGTTTAAGCCTTAGCCTAATGATTTATTATTTTTAAAAAACTGAATTTTACCTGGGTTTCTGATGTTTTGTGTATTAGGATCAAGGCACAAAGGACAAGATGAAAATTAAACTTGCTTTTTGAAAGTACTTTATGGTGTGCAAACCAATTTCACACCTGCTGTTTTGTTTGTTTCTCTTACAATCCCTAGAGACAGATAAGGTGCAAGTTGCACTCTTAAATGCAAATTGAAAGAAAGCACAGTGTCTTTATGTAAAACAGCAAAATTAGAAGAATGCAAAAATGAGTTAATATTGGTTATCCCTTATTTTATGTAAAATAAATGAAATGGGGTATTTTTGCCTTAACATAGAGATCAAAATAAAATGACTGAATATTGTACTTTAAGCATCTCAGAAAACTTTGATTCTTATCATTTTATTTTTCTATTGTATGGCATAAGACAATGCATGAAAACAGAAAATTATTTTGGATATCCAATTTTTCTGCTAAGGTTACTGTTTGATAGTCAGACATCATGGGTGATGTTTATGAGACATGGTCCCTGGTTCAGACTGGCTTTGAAGTGGTCATGGGATTCTGTTTCTCTATGACCTCATCAGAAAATTGTTCAACCCTGCCCTGCCAACCTAGCGTGAGCTCAAATGAAATACCATATCTCCTAGATATGGAAGAGCTCTGTGAATTCTGATTTGCACTTGCAACTTAACAGATTACTACTTCTATGCTTATTTTTTAGAGGGCTTATAGTGATTTTATTTTTGTGCTATACAAAGGGACAGTCTATATGTGCTTTAAACTCATTCTTACTGTATTCAGTCTTATATCAATATTATAGTAATTGAGAAAACACGATAGTTTAATTTTAAAATTTTCCAATGCATATGTGTAAAGAACATCCTAACATTCTTTAGTTTTGTTTTAGTTAAAAACATATTCTTAGGAGAAAGAATTTGAAATGTTTTCAAGAAATCTAGAATGGCCATTAAAAAAGGACTACAAAATGAATGCTGTATTCTTATTTTACTTACTTTACTGATGGTTGTAACAGTGCTCCATCTTTGGTCCATGTATATGTGACCTCACTGGGGGTAAGAAGGTCGCAGAGTATATTGATGACCTCTGTCCTTTTAGTGATATACACAGTATTTCCAATCCTTGCATTTATTGTTTTGTTAAATGAAACTGAAGGGTGTTGGCTTTGCCTCATGAGAATAGGTCCTTTTGGTTTAAAGGTCAGCCTGCCTGAGTTTTTCACTTTTGAACTCTGGGGCAGACTTTCTGTTGTGCCCCTGAGCTGAGCAGCAGGAGGCACCTCTTCCTGGATGCCCTTCCATTGAATGTGTGCTGACTGGGCCTTGGCTAACTCAGCCACCAGCTGGTAAATCACCTGAGAGGCAAGGTCATCGCTGACCTCTCTGGTTTCCAGAAGCAGACTCATGTTTCTTATCAGTTCATCAAATTGGACTGTATCCATGCTATATGCTCCCTGTTTAACTGCTGCTTCAAACTGCTTATTCTTAAACTCCCAGGAATTGGTGTTGCCTGCAGAATTGCTGCAGTGGCCTAACAAAGCTCTTAAGAAAGGCTGGTTATTAATTTGGTCATCATGTAGGTAAAGCTCATTTTTGTTACTCCACATTTGTCTCATTTTATGCCATGCAGTTCCCAAACTATCAGCTTCGTTGCCATCCATCCCAGGATATTCCCTCATTTGCTCTCTGAGGGCAGGGTGTGCAATGAGCCGGTTGTCTGTTCCAATGAGCTTGAGCACAACTGTTTCCTGGGCTGAGCCTGCAACGCATCGGTACACACCAATGTCAGGGGCTTCGAGACTGTGGATCTTCAGTGAGCCTGACTTGGTGATGCCAAGTCGTTTGGAGTTCTGCAGACAACGGCCATCCTTCTCCCACCGGATCAGAGACTTCTGGAATCGTCGTACTGGGCATTTAATAATCACAGATGTGTTGGGCAGCAAATAGGCTCTGTTGCCAATGGTCAGATTAATACGTTTCTCCTCCCTTGTCTGAATATAGACTCTCTGGACACTGAGAATCTGAGGACTCTGCTCACCAAGTTTTATTTTTGTCTTTGGTTTTACTTCTGCAGGAAAAAAGAAAGAAAATTTTAAAAAATTCAAAAATACTAACAACTTTTTGACAGTCATCTCCCAAACCTACGTTACTCTTTTAAAATATTTGAGTTAAAACATGAATAACATGATACATGTATACACAAATAAATTTTACAACTATCTAGTACTTCAGCAAAGAATGCAAGTTTGAATGAGTGCATGGAAACATGTGATTTACTTTACAAAGCCCTGTTTTGGGGAAGTAAGGGGTTAAATGCTTCAATGAAATTTAAGGAATGGTTATTCTACATTAAAGAAATATTCATTCTAATGCATGATCATATGATGGCTTCATAATATGTAATTCATAAAGTGCCTCTCTCCCTGTTTCACCAGTTTTTGGGTATAGGTTTCATCAGTAAGAGGGTGATCTGATACATTGGGCCTCTACCATTTGGCAGGGTTACCTTTGAGGAGCTAGTCTGGCTTGGAGTCATGGCTACACCAAATCTGAAGAAGAGAATGGAAATTTGAATAAATTCATTTGAAGGGTTCAAAAAGGAGAATGAGGTTAGACAATTGCAGAAACTAGCCCAAATGTGCCAGTTAAACAAGCATGGCGGGGTCTGAGAAGCAATGGGGAGCCACGATCAAAAAAGAAAAGATAAAGCAGGTATTTTGAAGCCAGACAAATCTGGAGTTTGAACCTTAGCTCTGCCACATGAATAAGTCATTTCATTTGTCTGAGCCTTAGTTTTCTTATCTATAAACTGGATAATTTAATTAGTACTTTCATTAGAGGAGTGTGGAAATGAAGTCAGACTGTTTGTGTCAAGAGCACAGCATAGTAGTAGGCACTTAATGGGCTCTTCTATATGATTACTGTGCCCACTGGCTAGGTAACAAAGGCAGGTTTGGCAAGAAGGTACAGAGCAGACTGAGGGGGAGTCAGAGATGGGCTGGCTTTTTTCTGGCATGGATTCTAGTGAACAGGCTGGGGTCAAGGACCACACACCTCAGATCCTGTCCCCAGGGAAGTGCCTCTCTCCCTGTTTCACCTGAGAGGAAATATACTGTGATTTGTGTGATTTGGAGGAGAGGGAGGGGACCATGATGTGGGAACAAGTCTGGTTCCTGCTTGATGATACATTTTGGTCTCTGGGCAGATGTGGGGTATGAGCTGGAGGGCTTGGAGATACTAGTGAGTGGTAGGAGAAGGACTGGACTTGCATCAAGTATTGCTCGATTCAGGAGGTCATGAAGTTGGGACCTCATTACTTTGGCCCTCTGAGAATTAATAGCAGCATTGACATGCTGTGAGAAAAGCCAGATCAATATTCCTCTTAGTTGGTTTTCTCAGGCCTTGGCAGTAGTTACAAGGTATGTACTGTTTACAAGAATAATTTCTACAGTCCTCTTGCTGGTTCATAAGCCTTTTGCAGTGTGGCAACCTTCTGGGGTTTAGTGGTGTTATTAGGTTCAGAAAAGCAACAGAGACTCATAATTTCTGAAATAGAGGTTTTCAGTGAAGGACACATGATTAATTTGTATACAAATTTCATTGATGTGCAACTGGTAGTTCAGGCCTATGGATCTCAGAATGGGTCCAAGGGTTCTAACCCAGGATATTCCCTCAGCTCATTTCTAAGTGGTATCAGATGACCTGCCACTTGGACAGTTTCCTCTTTGGGATTACAGAATATCCACAGAGAATGTCAACATGGCCCTAGCCACTTAAAGCATATAGATTTTCTTTTAATGGGCAACATAAAATTTTGAACTTACTTTGAATCATGACCAAAGGCAGAAAGAAGACGTTATAGAGGTATTATGTTTTAGACATAAAATGTCCCTTAAAAGCCACATGCTTAAAAGGCTTGGTTACCAGCCTGTGGTGCTGGAGGTGGAGCAAACTTTAGGAGGTGGGGCATAGTTAGAGGAAGTAGGTCCTGGGAGGCAGGTAGGCCTTTGAAGAGTACATTTTGTATTTGGTCTCCTTCTCTCCTTCTTTACTTCTCATCATCATGAGGTGAACAATTTTATTCCAACTCACCCTTCCACCACCAAAAACTATGGAGCCTTCTGACCAAAGACTAAAACCTCTGAAACCATGAGCCAAAATAAATGTTTTCCTCCTGTTAATTAATTTCTCTCAGATACCTTGTCATAGTGAAAGAAAACTAACACATTCTCTGGTTAAATTCATAGTCCACTCATTACTATAGAAACAATGGTTTTCAAAATACTTAATCTTCACAGAAAATGCTCAATCAAAACAGCTATTTATTAATCTCAATGACCTAAGTTCCATCCACAAAAGTTCTAATTTAGTGTACAGTATGGGTATTAAAGTTTTTAAAAGCTCCCCAGGGGACTGAATGTGCAGCAAAGTTTGAGGACCATTGCCCTAGAGTGTACCATGATTAAACCAAAATAGTAGAGAGAGGTATTCTTGTCCCAGTTTATTTTACTGAAAGACAATTTTATGGGATGCTGCTGGTAAAGAGGAAAGGGAAAATAAGAAACAGCATCCATGTTATCTACGAGATTCCTGTGCAACATGCAACATCTTCTATAAGAAGATAGAGGGAAGAGTGCTTTCTGGTCTCTGTTTCAGTAATCATACTTTGAGTCATCACAGATGGTCCCCTAATCAGGATGGTTCCACTTAATGCTCCTTTGACTTTCTTATGGTACAAAAGCTATCTGCATTCAGAAGAAACCATATTTTGAATTTTTATCTTCTCCCAGGCTAGCAATATAAGGTATAATACTCTCTAGTGATGCTGGGCAGCAAGCAGCAAGTCACAGCTCCCAATTAGCCATGTGCCCTCAAGGGTAAACAACCCAGACTCCACTGTGTACTGTGTTACCAAATTATGATGTTTGGCAGGTTAGTGTAATAATGCATTTTCCACTGATAATTATAAACACATACACGCACACCCCACAGGGAATTGAACTCAGGACTGTTCTACTATTGAGATACCCCCAGACCTTTATATTTTTTATTTTAAGACATTGTCTTGCTAAATTGCTGAGGTTGTCATTGAATTTGTGATCCTCCTGCCTCAGCCTCCAGAGTCACTAGGATTATGTTAAGTTCCTCCAGAGCAATGCCTGGAGTGTGGTGACACTGGGCTCAGTTCTTAGACAAAAAACTGGCCCAGTTCTGGGAGACTGCGTCCTCCCATATATGGAAATGCCCCAATGCAGTGACATTGGCTAAGGCTCATTAGGCAAGGGCATCATCCACTCTGCAGAGAGCAAGGAGGTACCTCAGCATCCTTCTGGAGGGGGTTCTGGCCTGTGCAAAGGGACTAACTCATCTCTCAACTGTGCTGGATTTGAGAAATGCCACATTTTTGGTCTCTTCTAAAGGTACACTCATCCACTGCTGATGGGACTGCAAATTGGTGAAGCCAATATGGAAAGCAGATTTCTTAGAAAATGAGAAGCGTTTTCTTCTCTGTGTCCCCCTTTTGAGTCTTTGTGCCACCATGCCACACAGGCCAGCTCTAGGTTCCTGGGGCTCTTCACAGGAGTTGCCTGTGGCTCCTCGCTTGTCTGTCCTGCCTTCACTCCCATGGTATCTTTGCCATGAATCTGAGGCTTGGTGTCAAGCCAGGCTTCTGCCCCAAGCCATCTGGGATGGATATTTACACTTGGTCTCGCCAGCATTTGACTCCTGCCACTCCCTAATGGGCTTTGGCTGTGACCCAGCCTCTAAGTAAGCCTTCCTATCCCTGCTGGAACTCCACCTACTCAGAATCCAGCCCTCAATCTAGCTGCTGGGCTGGTGCGGATTCCCTTTCCTTCCTCTGGGAGTGAAGATCCATCAAGCTCATTTGAAGCTGTGTAAAAACCCTGGGCAGTTTTTCTGGATTCTTTTTAGGCTTCTCGGAATGTAGGAAAACAGGTAGCTGAGTGGAGGCTGCAAGGGATACGGTGGGCTGGACTTGCTAAAAGAGTTATGAAGGCCCCAGGCCCCATGGCTATAGTAAATCCCAGACCATCCTGAAAAAATGGCTTTCACTTACTTGTTTCTATTGCCCTTTTCAACTAAATGCCGTCTGGCTTCTTCTCCCAGAACTGCATTAAAACTCTCTGGGAAAGACCACACATGGCCTCTCAGTGATAAATCCAACGCTCTCCCTCTGTGTTCTTATTTGTCCATTCTAGAGTATATGGCACCATGATCACTTCCTTCCTGAAGAAGTCTCTCCTTCCCAACATTTTAAACCTTTCTTTATGGTTCCCTTTGATCCTGTTACGGCCAGTATCCTACTAGATGTTTCTACCCCTTGGGTGCAAGTGCTTGGCCACTTTCTCTTCTTGCCCTATAGTTTTCCTTGGATGATCTTAAATAATTCCTTTAGGTTAATGTTTCCCAAGTTGATCTGTCTCTCCTAGACCACTCTCTGGAGCTTCAGACCTGTTTATCCACTGTCTACTAGAAATCTCCTCCTGATAAAAGTTTCTTCACGTATTATAATCTGGGCTGGGGATATAGCTCAGCACACTTGCCTAGTGTGGTGAAGTCCTGGGCTGGATCCCCAGCACCACAAAGATAAAAAATATAAAAAATGAATTCAATATTATAATCTAAATATTATCTGTCCCCCCATCCCAATTATCCTCTACTTTCTATATTCCCTAAGTTAATGGCATCTGATTCTGTCAATTTTCTCAAGCCAGAAACTGGGAACCATCTAAATTCACTCACAAATCAGTGAGATTGCTAGCATCTATTCCCAACTCTGTATTCAATAATGTCACACTGGTGGATGGCAACTGGCAATAGAGGCAGTATTTATACAATGGAAACTGAACCTGACAAACCAATGATAGCTACTTCTCCCCTATCATGATCCCATCGGAGAGCTGGTTTTGAACATTTACAAACACACCACGGTCCCTGTCCTTCAGCTCCTAACTCTAGTCAGGCATCAAGAACTTGGATTACACATCAGAGCCATTGTTAGATTTCATCCTCTTTGCTCCTGCTCTCATGATGCTTACCTAGATATTGCCATATTCCCTGAACTAGGCTCCCTGCCCACAGTTTCATATTTATTCAATGTCTCCATAGCTGCCAGAGGAGATGAACTGATCATTAGAATCTAAACTATTCATCATGAAACTCAAGGTTTCTTTTCTTATCACTCACCTAAGTTCTAGTCCTATGAGATTGCTTGAGTTCTCACACAGTTACCACTTCTTTTGACACCTTCTACCTTTGTCTATGTTGCTCTCTTTTCCCAAATCCTCCTGTACCTCTCCCCATGTAGGCCTGATGAATGGATACTTATCTTTCAGAAGTCCCCTCAAGGTTTCCTACTTTATGAAATTGTTTCCTCCCACTGCCTTGTTTGTTGAATGAATAAGTGAAGGATTAAATATGTAAAAGAAAAAGTAATGCATATGCATTTGGATTCTATAGTAGCTGATACAAACACAAAATGGGTGCTAGTGAGGGGATCCTGAAACTGGCTTGGCTTTTAAGGGCTGCAGGATGTCAGGCAGGTATTGACCTTACTGAAACATCAGAACTGACAAGTTCAGGAGGAGGAGCAGTGTAAAAACCCTGGGCAGTTTTTCTGGATTCTTTTTAGGCTTCTCGGAATGTAAGGTTCAGGGTGTGGGCATGAGGCTGGGAGAGCACAAGAGTCAGACTGTGAGCTGATACAAAGAGGGAGACAGAGGACTGGAGACAAGAAACTGGGTTTGAAATAACCCTGGGAAGAGGCTTAGGCATACATTCTTGATGTGTCAGTCACATAGTGCATCTTGAATATCCCTCCTCCCTCAATGGTCCTGATCTCAGTACTTTGGGGAAAAATAAGAATCCTTCTTCACCAAAACTCAAGGACCCTGACACCAGGAGTTATAATTTTAAAATTTCAAAATCAAACACTACATTTCTATTATTCTTTCAAGTGTCTGATTGGAAATGAAGACAATCATGGGGTTCATAGAGGAGGTGAGGATGTGAAATGGGGATAGCAGGTGTTATAAAGGTCATCGTGGGTACATGAGTGTTGGCTGTTCTGTATGTTGGCAAATGTTGAAGCAGAAGACAGTACCTGGTAGTGTGTCTTGGAGCAAGGTAGAGTATCTTGCAGGTCTACAATGGTGCCTTAGAAGGTCTACAAGGGCAATCCAAGTACTAAGTGCACATGGACAGTGGAGAAATGGTGCAGAGACAGCAGGGGAAGGGAGGTCAGGAGAATGCCAAGCTCGTCACTTGGTCCTGTGCTACAAATGTAGGGAGAAGAGGATGCTCTTCAGGAGCACAGAGGGAGAAACAATCAAAGCAAGGGCCATGGAGGGAAGGTAATGGACTGAGGCCAGGCTGCAGCTGATGTGCAGGTCCAGCTCAAGGTGACCTGGCTGTAGCAGGGAGCATGCATTCTTGCCTCTTGTCCGCTTCAATTGCACTCCCTGTCTGGCAGGCTAGGGAACAGGGTGGAGTAAAGAGAAAATATAACTATCTTTTTTCTTTTTCTCTGTAAAATTTGTAATTTTTCTCTGCCCTCCATTGTTCACCATAATAATTTATAATTTCATTCTGTACCACATTGCAAGGCCTCATAGCCACAATGTATTCCCATATTATTCTGTTATTATTTTAGAGGAAACTGCCAGTATGACTTTCATGTCACTCTCTTCTAAGATAGTTTAGAATCTAATCACAATGCTATAGAACCATTCACAACAATAATCAGATAGAAAAAAAATTAGGTAAATCACTCAAACAAAGCATGACATGGTGCCATTTGCCACAGACATTCCTGAATTCCAGGAGACTTTAAACTTGGAATCTTAAGATTTTGAAAATCTGTTTTCAAAGGATTCCCAGGGAGGAAAAATGTTAATGCTGTCCATGAATCAGCAAAGAAAGGAAGTGAAGAAGAGCGTAGGCTTAGGAATCGGACAGACTGTGGTCAAATAGGCCAAGGGATCCAACTGCCAGGCACCAGGCCTTGGGCAAATCTCACACTTTCCCTAAGTCTTGGATTCCTTGTCTCTAAATGGGGTACATTTGTCTCACACATTGCTGGGGGAACTAAATGAGATAATGCATTCAAGGAATTCCCCATGGTAAGTGCTTCATAAATGTTATTATTTTAATTAATTTTTTGTTTCTATTATTTTGTTTTTCCAGAAAAGTTGATTCACACACATACACACACACACACACACACACAAACCCCCTCACAAGCAGCATTAAAATAAGAATAGTTCACTTCAGATATTTTTTTTTCTAACCATAAGCAAGTTCAGGAGGGTACCTGAGGTAATGAATGTTATTTTGCAAGGGAATAATTAAAGAAAAAAAAAGATGAAAAAGCAAAGCAGGAAATGGATCCAGAAACTATTATTCACAATGTCCCTATTCCCTATTACCTCTCTGCTGACTAATTTCAATTGCTGTAGTGGAAACTGAATTCATCTGCTGTGACCCTCTTACAGAAAACATACATCTATGGGTATAAATATACATCCTCTCCTGAACACTAAAAATAAATAGAGCTCTGAATAGAATGAGGTCATTTATATTAATTCTTCATAGTAAGCTTATTACTTATAATGAATTAAAAGGGTAGCCAAACTGCCATATTAAAAAAAAAAAGTACTTCATGTTTTCATTCTTGCTGTTTTCAAACTACACTGAAGAAAAATACTGTAATATTAAAAAATATTCAGCTCTTTTCCTTTTTTTATATCTATTTTTTAGTTGAACACAATATCTTTATTTATTTATTTTTATGTGGTGCTGAGGATCGAACCCAGGGCCTTGCATGTGCTAGGCGAGCGTGCTCTACCGCTGAGCCACAACTCTAGCCCAACTCTTTTCCTTTTAATAGGTTGGATACAAATTTATTACTAGCAAAGTCAACTAGGAAGTTTATCAGTCTAACTTCTCTATGTCACACTCCTGAATTCTAAGTGGAAGAATTCACATGGAGAATATAAATAAGTGAGAAGCTTCAAAGATACATTTGCTAAGTGGATGCACATTTCTTAAAACCACCTTTCTTTAGAATTTTATCTTGATCTTTCACATTCTATCATTTGTTGCTGAAATTAAGTCTAAATTCTTCTTAATTTGCTTTACCCATGTATTAGAAATATGCTGATGTGTGGAAAACAGAGGCCTCAGGACAGAATGAGCAGAATCAAAGTCTGGTGAAGTGTGGCCTTTACATACTTACTGTGGCACGCAGGCATCTGGCAGGATCTTACAAGGGGAAGCCCTGGTAGGTCCCTGCACAGTGTCTCGCTAAGGGGAACACGCCGGCCTCTGGCAGTCAGCCTCTGACACACCTGCTTTCTTCTCTGGAGTCCAACACCACAAGTGACAGAGCACTGCAAGGAGAGTTGAGCAACAGTCACATGGAGTGTGAGCCCACCAACCACAGTAAGGGCCCTGATGGGGAATGGGGAGGGAGCTTGAAGTTTGGGTGTACCAATTAGCAAGTCATTTCCAAGCCTGAACATCTCTATGGTATGGAAGCTCTACTCTCAACTTCTTCCCACCTTCCTCTTCTTTTCCTTCCTTCCCTCCCTCCCTCCTTTTCTTCCTTCACTCCTTTTTTTTGGAGATAAGTAATTAATTTATAGTAGTTTATTTTTGTAGATTTTTTTGGCATTGTAATTGATATCTAATTTAATTTTTAGCTATTTGTTTATATAGTAAAATAATCTTAATTGATGTATTTTTATTGGTGTATTATAATTATACATAATAGTTGGATTCATTATGCCATATCCACATATGCACATAACATAATTCAATCAATCTTGTCCCCCAGTACTTTCCCTCTCTCTTTTCCTCCCTCTCCCTGATCTGCTTTTACTCTACTTCCTTCTGTTATGAGTAATATTTTAATTTGTGCATTATAATTACATATATAAAATCAGGATTAATTGTGGTATATTCAGACATGGATGTAGCATAATTTAGTGGATTATGTTTTTTAAAGATGGAAACAGGAACATAAAAAATAGAAATGTAGAAATGTCAAAGAAAGGCCAACTACCAGAAAGCTAAGTTCTGCCAAACATTTTTAGAAAAGAACTAATACTGATTATTCTTAAATTAACCCAAAACTTGAAGGTGGGGTAATTTATCCAAACACATTCTATGAGGCCAGCATTATCATGATACCAAAACCAGTCAAGGGCAAAAAAAACAAAAACAAAAACAAACTATAGACAAATATCTTTGTTAGACATATTTGCAAAAATCCTCATCAAAATACTAGCAAACCAAATTCAACAGCACACTAAAGGTTATTCACCATGATCAAAGATTATTCATGGGCTGGGGATGTGGCTCAAGCGGTAATACGCTCACCTGGCATGCGCGGGGCGCTGGGTTCGATCCTCAGCACCACATAAAATAAAATAAAGATGTTGTGTCCACCGAAAACTGAAAAATAAATATTTTTTTAAAATTCTCTCTCTTAAAAAAAAAAAAGATCATTCATCCCAGAGTTATAAGGATGGTTCAACATATGTGAATCAATGAACAAAATAAAGAATGAAAAACAAAACCATGTGATCATCTCAAAAATGGAGAAAGACAACTGATAAAATTCACCATTCCTTCGTGATAAAAACATGAAACAAATTAGTTACAGAGGACAAATATCTCAATACAATAAAGCCATATATAATAAGCCAACAGATAACATTAAATTTAATGAGGAAAAGCTGAAAGCCTTTTCTCTAAGATCTGGAACAACACAAGGATGCTCACTTTTTACCTTTTTACTCAACACAGTACTGGAAGGCCTAGCCAGAGCAATCAAGCAAGAGAAAGAAATAAAGAGCATCTGAACTGGAAAAGAAGTCAGATTGCTACTGTTTGCAGATGCCATAATTTTATATATAGAAAATCCAAAGACTCCACCAAAAATTATCAGAACTAATAAATGATTGAACATGGTTGTAGGGTACAAAATCCACATCCAAAAATCAATATTATTGCTATATACCAATAGCAAATTATCTGAAATAGAAATCAAGAAAGCAATCCCATTTGTAATGCTGTCAAAATGCATCTAGGAATAAATTTAATCAAAAAGCTAAAGGATCTCTACAATGAAAACTATAAAACATTGATGAAATAAATTGCAGTGGACACAAAAAATGGAAAGACATACCACATTCATGGATTGGACTAATCAATATTGTTAAAATGTCCATACTACCAAAAGAGAGCTACAGATTCAGTGCTATTTCTATCAAAATAGCAACAACATTCTTCATAGAACTAGAAAAAAAAAAACTACTCCTAAAATTTGTATGGTTCCACTAAAATCCTCTTTTTTCTTTTTGATAACAGCTAATAGTATATTGCCAAAGCAATCTTGAGCAAAAAGAAGAATGCAGGAGGTATCATACTACTTGACTCCAAAATATTTAAAAAGGGGCAATAAACCTAAATAGTATTTCTCAAAAGAAGACATATAAATGATCGATGGAAAAAAGCTCAACATAATAAATCTTCAGGGAAATATAAATCAAAACCACACACATAAACACACACACACACACACACACACACACACAGATCACCTCACTCAAGTAAGAATAGCCATGATCAAAAAAAGACAAAAGAGAACAAGTGCAAGCAAGAATGTGGAGAAAAGGAACCCTTCCACACTGTTGGTAGCAACATAAATTAATACAGCCATTGTGGAAAACAGTATGGAGGTTCCTCAAAAAATTAAAAGAACTACATGATCCAACGATCTCACTACTGGGTATTTATCCAAAGGAAATTAAATCCATATGTCAAAGAGACATCTACACTCCCAGCGTTTACTGCAGCAATATTCACAGTAGCCAAGAGTAGGAAACAACTTAAGTGTCCACCAGCTGATGAATGGATAAAGAGAATACTGTATCTACAACGGAATTTTATTCAGTCATAAAAAAGAATGAAATTCTGTCATTTGTGATGACATTGATGGAAATGAATATCATTTTGTTAAATGAAATGAGAAAGACAAGTACCAAACGATCTTTCATATGTGGAAGATAAAAAAGTTGATCCCATAGAAGTTGAGAACAGAATGGCAATTACCACAGCCTGAGGAGTGTTGGGGGTGGGGTAGAAGGGATGGGGAAAGATTAATCAACACGTAAGAAGTAACAGTCAGGAACAAAAGTTCTAGTGTGCTATTGCAAAGTAAGGTGAGTATAGATAACAATAAAGTATTTCACAGTTCAGAAAGCTAGAGAAAAAGTATTTTAATGTTTTCACCACAATGCAATGATAAATGGTCAGGCACAGGGGCACATGCCTGTAATCCCAGTGACTTGAGAGGCTGAGGCAGGAGGATCACCAGTTCAAGTTTAGCCTCAGCAACTTAGTGAAACATCACATGGAACCCCATTAATAGTTATAATTTTTATAACTCAGCAATTTAGGGAGGCCTTGTCTCAAAATAAAAAGGACTGGGGAAGTAGTTCAGTGGTAGAGCACCCTGGGGTGCAATTCCCAACATCACTCACACAAACACACACACACACACACACACAGATAAATATTTGAGAGGAAATATATGTTGAACCTGACATAAACATTAGCCATGCATACATGTACGGGAACATCACATGGAATTCCATTAATAGTTGTAATTTTTATGTTAAAATAGAACTAATAAATTTTAACAATGTTTAAAAAGGAAAGTACTATGGTTTGGCTGTCATTTGAATGCCTCCCCAAGGTTCATATATAAAGGCATGGTCCCCATGTGGTGCTATTGGGAGGTGCTATAGTATCTTTAAGAACTGGAGACAGTTGAAGGTCCTTAGATCACTGGGGATGTGCCTTTGACCGGGATTGTGGGAACCCCATACATTCCCATACTCTCCTTCCTGACTTGAGAATTGTGACACTTGCTTCCACTATTGTTATTTACCAGTCTCACAAGAACTGAGCTGATGCATGTTGTCATACCTTTGAACTTCCAAAAATCTAGCTAAATAAATTTTTATCTTCATAAATTCATTGCCTCAGGCATTTAGTTGTAGATGCAAAGTTGACTAATATTTTAAAGAATCACCCAAATGCTATATATAAAATAACATTAATACTTGATAATCACTGTGTATCATATAATTTTAATTTGAATTTAATGTGATTTTATTAAGTATAGTAAGAAAAAACTAAAATAAAAGGATTTGATGAATATACATCTTTTTCTACTATAATCAATTCCCTCAAAGAATGTCTAAAGTTAAGAAATAAGATTAAGAAAACCAACAAGAGATTTGGATAGTTATTTTTTTAAAAAATTTTTATTTGTTTTAATTCGTTACACTTGACAGTACAATGATCTTGATATATCATACATTTGAATCAGATGGGATATAATTTCTCATTTTTCTGAGTGTACAGGTTGCAGAATTACATTGGTCATGCAGTCACGTATATACCCACAGCAATAATAATGTCTACTTTGGATAGTTATTTTTAATGACATATTTTGACTTCAGAAAGTATCTTAGGGACCTTCTACTATGAATAATGAGGAATTAAGCACCTCTCCTCTCCAAGTTCCCAGTTAGCTCACATTATATCATTTAGATGATGTCAAGATTTCTGCAGTTTACATTCTGTTTTGAACTGCTAATAGATTACTTTTAATTCTACAATTAAATAAATTCATCATTCATCTTCCATCATTTTTTACCAGGGTCAAAACATTCCTGTATTCTCTATTTTAAATCATCTTTGTGTCTCCTCTTGGCTCTATGGGGTTTTCAAGAGGGGCTCATCAGCATCATGTTCCTTGACTGCCTTTCTGGTACCTTTCTACATAAAGAGCAACCTGGATAAAGAGAAACTTCTGAGTCATGCTTTCTTTCCCTTAGATCCTGCTCCATTGTCTTGCATTGACAAATGCAGAACAAATGAGGACCAGCAGGAAATTTTTGTGGTTGATGTGTTTGCCCTTCCTGCTCAGAGGCCTGTGGATAAATTCTTTATCCACAAAGTCCAGCACCTTATACAGGCTGTCTCAGGAGGTTGTATTTTTTGGCACATGACGTGCCTTTATGACCTGCTGACAAAAAGTCATTGCTAAAGGAAGTCAGTTCCCCTTACATTATCTTTGAATATATTTCTGTTACATTTGTATTGCTGTTCTCACCAAATACCAGTTATGCTAATGTTTGATTTCCTTTGTCTGCTTTCCATACCCATCGTTGTCTCTAAAATCAATATTGCACCTTTGCTCTTTTCCATTCTTCTCATGATGTACTCCATCCTGTACATCATTCTCTTTTCAATTGATTTATTTTTTGCTATTGTTGTTTATAACTTGTACATCTGCTACTTTTAATTTTTG